TCCACTGAGAGATGTCTGCTAGAGAAGCAGAGATGCGTGCGACGACCTGGGTCTCTGAACGGGGAAAGGACAGAATTAATTGGGTGTCGTCAGCGTAGCAGTGGTTTGAAAAACCATGCGGGCTAATGACTGATCCGAGCGAGTTTGTGCACAGAGAGAAGAGGAGGGGACCGAGAACAGAGCCCTGAGGGACCCCTGTAGTTAATTGACAAGGGTCAGACTCGGACCCTCTCCAAGTTACCCTGTAGGTGCGGTCTTTGAGGTATGAGGTGAGGAGGGAAAGTGCAGAACCTGAAACTCCAAGTTATATCTAACACTGGCTCCGCCCTCTACTGGACTCTATGGGTACTACCTCTCAACCATACTATGTGAGCATTCATCAACTGAGATATCTATAACCGTAGCCGGCCTCCTGGGGTGGGCCTACCTGAATGCGCGCGCAAGCCTACCGTATATAAGGCGGCCTCGCCTCCTAACTGTCATCCTTTTCTCTTCAGCGAGCAAGGAAACAACTGAGCGCTAAGACAAAAGACAAGAAAGTTTGAATCATAGACTCCCCACTTTTAGAGCAATGACCCTTCCCTTCGTGCCCGGGCTTGATCGCAGGTGACGATCTCCACCGCCGCTGCCGATCTCCACCGCCGCTGCTTCAAGTGCCTGGGGCCTGACCACGCGGTGGCCGGCCTGATCCAGTCCCTGGCCTTCAACGCCTGCCGCCTGATCCCGCTCTCGCCGAGCACTTCCAGGAGCAGTACATCTAGCCGGAAGAGGCGGAGGACCTCCAGGTGGTGGAGATGGAGGAGCAGGATGTCGGTGTGCCCTTCGTGTTCGCCATGCCAGCGGGCCGGGTGGCCCCATTCGTCGAGGAGGAAGACGACGACTACACCTCGTTGTCTGATGCTTCCGTGGCCGGCCTCCAGGAGGGTCCACAGCACAGGTCTGTGAGGCAGGACTTCCCGGCGGTAATGACTATGGCGGCGGAGCGTGCAAATCCGTGAAATCCTGGAATATCTGGATAAGATGTTCAGGCTCGGGACGCAGATGGCAGCAGCGGCCAATAATCTTGGCGTGTTGGGTGTCTCACTGATCACCCCTCAGCAGGACATCCCCGCCTCCCCGCTTCCGGACGGGAGTGATTATTAGGACTGCTACTCGGGCAAGACGATAGATGGGCCAGACGGTATGGCTACCACAGCTGGACGTGTGATGTCCCTGGCCACAGTGTCGTCACGTCACGTGTGGCTGGGTCTGACCGCACTGTCCAAGAAAGACCGGGATGATCTCCTTGGGGCCCCCGTATCCACGGAAGGGCTCTTCGGGTCGATCACCTCGGTCACCCAGCGCTTCAGTCGCTTAGAGGAAGAGAGGGCGCAGCTCAGCCGCATTGCTGCCACTGGCTCGTCCTCAGGCTCTTCCTCGGGGGGGGTGAGCGCACGGCGGTGGTAAGACGGAGAGAGAGGCGCCGGTATAGAGCCCCCGGGGCTCCAGTTGCTCCCTCTGCCTCCACGGTTCGTCCCGGAGAACCGGCTCAATACCGGCACTCGTGGGGACGGGCTGACCGACCTGGCATTGGGAGGTTGCGTCCTGGCGGAGAGAGTCACTTTCTCCACCCAGGACGCGAAGGCGAATCCCGCCTTCTCCCTGTATGATGCTACTGTTGTGACACGATATTCTTTTACAAATAAAAATGATTGCATGTATCCCAGTCTAAGTGTAATTTCTCTCCAGATATCCACACTTCCACATAATGTTAACCGTACAGATTCCCCACTCGCTGCCCCAGTTGTAACTCCAGTAAAGGAAGCAGCTAGTGGGCATGCACATGCAAGAGTGATAAACCGAGCTATGTGGGTACAGGGACATTATGGCCAGCGTAGCAGGTTTAGGAGACACACAACGCCGAGTGTAAAAATTCCGCTTGATGCATTTCACCGTTTGGGTGAATGCATCATGGCGGAGAGCGCGCTTCAAAGACCTCAGTAGAGAATCGGCCCTTTCTGTGTCGACCCTCCATGGGCAGAACTTCCCTTCACGGGGAGTTTTTAGCCGCCCTTAAAGGACAAATGAAGAACAAGAAGAAAACACAACATAACGAACAAAATACAAGAAGAACAAAAGTTATTATTGCGAGTTCAGATAACACACAGGAGCTAGAACCCACCTGCTTCTTTTAAATCAGCTGTGTGGGAACATTTCGTGTTCCCTGTGGACTACAATCATCTTTATTTAAAGAGACTCTTGGTCCATTATTACAAAAACATACAACACTCAAATATAAATTAAAAAAGGCAGTTATACCAATGTTTCTACAGCGGTGACTGGTATCGTACAGCACTGAAACACGGATTTGACAGCAGCATAATGACAGAGTTATGAGAAACATTCAATCGACAGATGAATTTGTACATTCGATTTCTCCAAAGAGCATGGAACTTGTTGACTCGTGCGTTACAGAACACAATAACGATGGAGTGCTAGTGGAAGATCGGACGAGGACGGTGTGTCGGCGTTGTTCGACAGCGGTGCGGTATGCTAATCTGGTAACACGTCCAACATGCTAAATCATATCAGAAGGCATCACCCAGATTTGCCAATCACCGGAGCCCGGCAAAATACAGCAGCAGTTCAACAGCTTATCCCCGCTGTTTTTAAGAAGCCAATAGACATGAAAGCCGAGAGACCAAAATAAATAACGGAAGCTTTTGGCATATATATTTCAACGGCTATGCTGCGCCCTTATGCAATAGTAGAGGACCCCGGCTTTTAGTGATTGGGATTGAAAGTGATTGAAACACTTTCTTATTATTTATTTTATAATATCTTCAAGATATTATTTTTAGTTTCACAGCTTATTGAACCTTTTTGTTTGACATCAACCATCATAGATAATATGGCCATCTGAGTGTGTCTGGTACTGTTTGTGGTTTGTTTTTAACTGTGTAATAAAGTTAATCATTCAAAATGTTAGAGTTCCTTATTTTTAAACTGAAACTTGCTGTTCAAAATAAATAACAACAAACATGGAATTATACATTTGGGACTTTTTTTTGCCTTTTTCTTGTTGTTCCGAACCGTGACCCCCAAACCGAGGTACGTACCGAACCGTTACACCCCTATAAGATGCACATATTTACCATAATTTGTGAATTCCATGTGAAAAGTTAGGAATTCCTTGTCCCACCACACTGAGGTCTCTGACACCCTTTTATTAATCCTTTCAGTAAATGGTTTTACTCTGTACAGGAAGTATAAGGATGCTTCTAACAAAGGGGGACAGCTAAGCACGACAGCAAGATGTTCAATACAATTGATCAGATCTTCCTTTGAGTACCTTGGCAGAAGCTTTTCCTGGGTGGTTGAGCAACATGATACCTTGATATAAAAGAGGAGTTAGCCCTTGACCATTACTCAAGATTGAAGAGACATGTCTGCCAGAAACCTGAACAATGTCTAAAGCAGTGGTTCTCAACTGGTCAGGCCTCGGGACCCACTTTTTCCTTTGTCAATAAATCGCGACCCGAAATTTGAACCACTCAAATCTATTCAACAAAAAATCGTGCTGTAATATACGCTTTTCAGCATACTGTATATTATTAATTAAAGTGAAGTACAGTGCATATATCCCTTATAACCCTTCACAGAACTAAAGAATGCTTTTACATACTGTAAGGTTTAATGAGATGATGGAATCAAAGCTGAACTGTATAACATAAAAAGGCACACATGCTGAAAACCCAACCGCAGAAGGGGGGTCTGGGGGGATTGTCCCCCAGGAGATTTTTAGAAATACTAACATATAAACTACGCATTCTGGTACACTCTGAGAAGAAAATAAATAAATCTATTACTACCCGACATGTTAATAATATTTTATGCCATTGTTTCTTTTTCACTTTATTCTGACAGCTGAGCTTGTCTGTGTGAATTACTTTAAATTGTGTGTAGGGGTAGATAGCTCAATCTTGATTCTGATTGGCCAGAAGACTCGAAAAAACATCAGCAAAGATGTTTTATTGAGAAGATGATCACTACGTGACAGAAGTTTTCAAAGCCGTTTATGGTCTCCGGTACTTCTAGTCCAACGCCTAATGCATGCACAGCGTTAGAAAATCGGGCCTTCAAAATAAAAAATAAATGTCAAACTTTTTTTTTTCTTCACTTACACGTCTGCGACCCACTCGAAACGGGTCCACGACCCACTTTTGGGTCGCGACCCACCAGTTGAGAACCACTGGTCTAGAGCCTTTAATATTGCTGGGCAAATCTCATCCATACCTGGCGCTGTGATATTGGGATATGGTTAAAGCTTCCCTATAATCTTCCAACTTTTCATTATCCATCGACAACATTTTGGATGTGTTTGGGAGCCCTTCAAAGTGCCTGACAGTATAAGGATATCAGCAGCTCTCCTCCTGAGCTGAACACTCTGAAACCCTGTGTCCCTTTCCTGAGTTATCTGGGGGCTGCCAGAACTTTCTTGAGGCTAACAAACAGTCAATCTCATTGGCCTTCCCAATCTCTTGCCTTTATGTCGTTTTTGTTTCAAGATAACCCTGGAACAACCAGGCCCAAAAGGCTAAATAACCTAAAGCATTGTCTAGAAGCAAGTTGGCTTCATTGATCCTTTGACCATAACTCTGAGGAGCCACTCCCACAATGTAACTTATCAGCATGGCCCACTTGGTTTCAATACTTCACGAAAAATGTTAATCTTTTAAGTTTCTTTACACCGTAAAACCACTCTTGATGAGAAGGAAAAAGTGGCCGCCATAATCAAATAAGATGATGTCAATGCTGGGAATTACGAAAAAAACAAGTTGCATGGAAGTGATGAAGACTGAGATGAAGATGACTGCAGAAAACAAAGTAGAGCTTAGGGATTGCAGTCTTAGCTAGAGAGAAAGTAATAGTAGGGGCAGGACAGATGAGAAGAGATATATCAGCTGCATAACAGAGAGCTTTGCCAGAACCTAGCAGCTTCTCAACACGTCTCTCTACAGATGGAGACTTCCCAAATGGATGAACTCTGCTTTCCAGAACTCTTCAACAGATCCTGCAGGAAGCCTATGCCAGCTCAGTCAGATATCCTGCTCGCTTACATCCTGCTGTCCTTCATCACTCTGATCACTGCAACTCTCAACCTGCTGGTCATCATCTCTATTTCCCACTTCAGGCACAGACAAACTTTCAGCTTAAGCTTGTATATGTTCATGATTGGAAAGTAACATGATTTAGCCATGCATTCCTTTTAATTAATGTTTCAGATAATAGTTGTTCTGTTTTAAATTATAACACATTCAAACACTGCTCAACAAATGCATGTCCATGTCTTCTTTGTGTTTTAGTGCTGTTTGTTGTTACAAGCTATCATTGATAATTGTATTTATGGTGATATTCTTCCTTTCCAGGCAGCTCCACACCCCCACTAACCTCCTCATCCTCTCCCTGGCTGTCTCAGACTTCCTTGTGGGCCTCATTTTGATGCCTGTCAACATCATTTCAACAGAGGCTTGCTGGTACTTGGGTGACCTGATGTGTGCTCTGTATCATATAGTTCCTTGTATCATTATCTCTTCTACGGTTGGAAACATGGTGCTCATATCCATTGATCGTTATTTTGCTATTTGTGACCCTCTACATTACACCACCAGAGTAACTCTGAACAGAACACAAATCTGCATCTGTCTGTGTTGGATTTGCTCTGTTATCTATAATTGTCTCATTTTAAAGGACTTTCTGAGACAACCTGATTCACAGAATTCTTGCCATGGAGAGTGTGTAGTTGTCCTTAACAATATCACAGGAGCTGTTGACTTAGTTGTTACCTTGTTTTCCCCCATTACTGTTATCATAGTTCTGTATATGAGAGTGTTTGTGGTGGCTGTGTCTCAGGCTCGAGCCATGCGTTCTCATGTGATAGCTGTCACTATGCAAAGTTCAGCTGGTGCAACTGTTAAGAAATCTGAGATGAAAGCAGCCAGGACTCTTGGTGTTGTTGTCCTTGTGTTTCTAATATGTTTTTTTCCATATTATGCTCCATCCCTTATAGGTGAGGATATTGAAACTGGTAGTTCAACCTCACCCATTGTAATGTGGTTGCTGTGTTTTAACTCCTGTCTGAACCCATTGATTTATGCCTCGTTATACCCCTGGTTTAGAAAATCTATCAAGCTCATTGTTACCCTTAAGATACTTAAGTCTTGCTCTTGTGATTCTAAAATACTGTAATGACGGGCTGGGGTTGAGATATATTCTAAAAACCTCTGTTCAGATGGACATATTGTTGCTATTGTTGCTCAGTCAGAATGCAATGTGTAATGGCTGAAGAACGATTAGACATTATTTAATGCAGTAAAACATATGTAACTAAAAGATATTAAATAATTGAATACAAAATAAAACTTGAAAATGTTACATTGTGTGGAAGAAGTAGTATTTGTTGAACTGTGTTGACTTCAGTTTGACCAGTATTCTGGTAATGATATGTTCAATTGTTAATTTAGTAGACAATATGCAGAACAGACTGATTGAGTATGTCGTTGGCAGAAGGTGAGTGTGCAACTTCAAACGAAAAGACAGAGCTGTCGTGTGTGTGTGTGCGTGTGTGTGTGTGTGTGTGTGTGTGTGTGTGTGTGTGTGTGTGTGTGTGTGTGTGTGTGTGTGTGTGTGTGTGTGTGTGTGTGTGTGTGTGAGAGAGAGAGAGAGAGAGAGAGAGAAAAAGGAGAGAAGGTTTTACTGACACATAACAGATTTGTTTCTCCAACATACTGACGATACAATATAACAAGAACAAAAATAAATCTTGTTGAGTGCTCACACATGTTTATTTTACCATTGCTCATGAAAATGTACATGAACTGTCTGTTGCAATAATGAGGGATTCAAATGTAGAAAAACATTCATAATATTTAGGCTGACAATAAGAATTAAAGCTTCAAGCAGCGATGATCGGGACCTCGCTAGGGCTGCTCGATTAAGGCAAAAGTCATTATCATGATTATTTTGGTCAATATTGATATCACGATAATTAAATACGATTATTCATTGACTTAGAAAACATCCTTTTATTGAACTTTTAAAAAATAAATAGTAATTTGAACAGTATCTTGTTAACAGTTGATTACCCTGAACCTTAAGTATAATTCAACTGAAAAACCAATACAAATATAAATAAAATAAATTATACATTTATATCCCCATTTAAATAAATAATATAAAATTAATAAATACCAATAAAGAAAATCAACAAATATTTTGGGGTGCACTTCCACAACCTACTGAACATAATATATAAAACTGACAAACTGTGATAGAGGTCTGTCCGTACTGTCACAGTTAGCACAAAGTGAGCTTTTAGTGAAATAAAGCTAAGCAGTTAAACACAAAAACAGGTGGTCTAGGCAAGGCGAAAACAAAACAACGAGAAAGAAAAGACCAGAGAGGGAAAGAGGAACAAGGGCCAACCTGCATTATAAGATTTTTTTGTTTAAGGATTCAAAAGGGCCATATAAGTCTTAACGATACCCATTATCATCATGATGAAATTATGGTTAAAAACTACACACATGAAACAAACAATGAAGCTAAAAAAACAAGCTAAATAAAAAAAATGTACCCTGAAATAAACATTAAAGTAACTGGAAATCATTCGATACTCTTGTCTCAGGCCCAGCTTGTTTTACTAAGTTATGTCAATTAAAATGTAAAGGTTCAAACTCCATGTCGCTTTTATTATTACACTCATACTTATCTGCTGCAAAACATTACATGTTCTCCATCACACTATATAAATGCACCAGTTATTTAGTGGGAATGCTGACACAGCATTACTTTTAGAGATATTAAACATTGTTCAGACCTTGGTAAAGAGGCCTTCTTCATATTTAGAGTGCGTGATGTCACAGCTAGAGTGGGACATGTCGTTAGCTCAAATAGAAACACCTGTGTCATGGAACACGATGATGTCATCACTCCAACTGACATGCTCAGAGCAGCAGACTTCAGATAATGGTTAATGGTCCTGCCCTCAACAGCTCTACGTCAAAAGTGTCATCATATGCAGTTTCCATGGAAACGCATCCCTCGCCATAAAACACGATGTTGTCGTAACGCCTATAAAAAGGGTCAAAACAGCACCACACTTCAGATAATGGTTAATGGTCCAGCCCTCAACAGCTCTATGTCCATTATGGGGTTTCATCATATGCCGTTTCCATGGAACCCCTGGGGTCGCTATAACTCTTGTGAACATTTTCAAAAAGTGCTCAAACTTCACATGTTTGCTAACAGTCCAGCCGTGAAGGCATCTACGGGACAGTTATGAGATTTCTTCAAATGCCATGGCAACACAATGCTCGCCATGAGACACGGTTTCCTCATAACATTACATTACATGTCACTTGTTAGACGCTTTTATCCAAAGCGACTTACATACTCAATACTGTGGACAATCCCCACAGGAGCAATTTGGGGTGAAGTGTCTTGCCCAGGGACACAATGACATGCTGACTGCAGTGGGGTTTGAACCTGTGCCCCCCTGGTCCCAAAACCAACGCACAACCCACTGCACCACACGCCTCCCTACTTCACTAACTTCAGTGAAAATACTCCAAACAGCCCAGAACTTCACAGGTTTGGTAACGATGCAGCCATCAAAGCATCTAAGCGTATGATGGGATGTCATCAAATGCCGTTGGCATGGCGACAGATCATTCGCCATCAAGTTAGTTCAAAAGTTTGCAATTAAAATATTCTGCTGCTTTTCCAAGCCTTTTTACTTTATTTTCTTCTTCATTTATTTTTACATTCAAGCCCCCAGTGTTCATGTATCATTTCAATCTAAATTCTTCACTTTCTTCTTACACATTACATTTCAGCTTTCCAGCATAAAGCATTCCCACTAGCAATTTCTTCAGGAATTGCATTCTCTAGTTTCCAAATACAATCCTTTAGTTCATACTCATTGCTTTTTTAATTAGTTATTATTTTATTTGTTTATTTATTATTAGTAGTTTACATTTGTTTATAAAATGTCAGTTCCAAACTAACTGCATTCAAATGATGCTATTCAGCTGTTTTATGCAATTATTCAAGTTACACAATCAATTCAAACTATTTGATACACATTCAGTTAATAATTACAAATGTCTGCCAATTTACCCCCTTTTTTACTCTTAATAACTAAATATATGTACATATAACATGGACCTCCATTAGCTTACTCTCTACCTAAAGGTGGGGTAGGTAATTCACTTCAGAAACTCTTTTTGTTATATTCCATGGAATGCTCTTAGTATCCCGATAGCAATGAATATATGAAATGCTTTGACAATAAATACATAAAAAAATGTCATCTGTTACATTACATTACATTTAGCTGACGCTTTTATCCAAAGCGACTTACAATAAGTGCATTCGACCAAGAAGATACAAACTTGAAGGAAACAGAATCATATAAGTACATCAGGTTTCATAGAGCCAAACATTTCAAGTGCTACTCAACTAGCTTTAGATAAGCCAGTCCTTTATTAGTATATAAGTGCTTTGTTAGTCATTTTATTTCTCGAAGTGAATTCAAAAGAGATGAGTTTTCAGTCTGCGCCGGAAGGTGTGTAAGCTCTCTGCTGTCCTGATGTCAATGGGGAGCTCATTCCACCATTTTGGAGCCAGGATAGCAAACCAACGTGTTTTTGCTGATGGGAACTTGGGTCCCCCTCGCAGTGAGGGTGCAGCGAGTGTACAGTTTAACCATGTCCTGGATGTAGGAGGGGCCGGATCCATTCGCAGCATGGTACGCAAGTACCGTGTCTTGAAATGGATTCTAGCAGTTACTGGAAGCCAGTGAAGGGAGCGGAGTAGCGGAGTGGTGTGGGAACATTTTGGAAGGTTGAAGACCAGACGAGCCGCTGCATTCTGGATGAGCTGCAGAGGTTGGATGGCACATGCAGTAAGACCAGCCAGGAGGGAGTTGCAGTAGTCTAGGCGTGAGATTACGAGAGCCTGGACCAGAAGTTGTGTCGCTTTCTGGGTCAGGAGGGGACGCATCTGTGGAAGCGGTAGCGCTGTAAAAAGCACGACCAATCATTTTTGCCGGCCCGGCTAAAGTAACTGGATGGCCTACCTGCCTGTCAGCCTTCCATCTGTGCACAAACTTATCTCGTGCCCTCATTGGTCATGTGCACGTTCGTGTGTATTGGAGGAGGGGCTCTGTGAGGAAGTCTGAAGGAAGGGGCAGATTTTTTCGGTTGCATACTTTCAAGTTCTAGCGCACTCGAGCTGGTTTCTCCATTCTTACCTACCCTACCTTTAACTCTTCAAATCTATTTTTAAGTTTTATTTTGATGGAGGTCATGAACCTTTCTTGGCCTGGTTTGGTCTTCTCATCATTCAATTGTGGTGGAAAAGGGATAAAATCTCCTATAATGGTAAAACAAAAATATTCCTTTAACCTCTCTCAGAACAGGCACAAGCACAATGCTCTGCCAGAAGGGAATGAAAGTCTGTAAAGATGTCATCATGGTTCCACAGAATACCAAGTTGCTTTTCAACCTACAAAACATCGGGCCAGAGGCCATGACAGCTGGGGAGGACAGGCAGAAACACAAGAGTAGCAGGTGAAAATAATCAGACAATCAGACAGGCGGGAAAACACAGGGCAATAAATGATTTACTAGGATCCACATTATCAATTAGGGCTGAACGATATACCGTGTCATGGCGATAACCGTGATATGCACATGCGCGATATTCACACCGCAGGGACGTGCGGTTTTATTCATTTAAAAAAGAAAATGCTCACGCACTTAAGCACAGAATTCAAAATAAAGATACCCTTATTACTTACCGAAACTGCACATACAATATATTCGATTAAAGCTGAGACTCCACAGATTATTTAAGTATAGTAAGCGATCCAATCTCGCAACAGGGGAAGCAAACACAGACATCACAACACGTACCTTTTACGGAGCTTTTACGGGAGATCGTCTCACCGTAGCTGTCAATCTGATCAAAAGACGTGTTCAATGGCATTAAAACGAGAAAAAACGCGCCTGAATCGGTTGATCCATAGGTTGATAATGTATCTGTGGCTTTCAAGCAATTGTTTATAATCCATAATTCCATTTTTATGTAAAAATCGGAGCACAACAGTTAGCTGCTAATGGTAGACACCAGAGTGTATGCAGCTTCCGGTTTTGGCTACGCGTCACTCTCACTCCTTATTTGGT